GATTGTGTGACGCCGTAAATGTGATTAGCACGGCCATTTAATTTTGGGGGCTTTTTAACCACATTACAAGTATGACTATTCAATTTCCCCCGTCTGTGCAGCTGATGCTTCTCTACCTGCCATAATGTGAGCAGTCACTGAGTCACTGGAGGCTGATGACACCGCTAATGTGCACCCAGATGGATGTCTAGCATTAGATTGTTTATGGATTTTTTATTTTTTTTTTTAGGTCTTCTCAGGTGGATGCTTGCAGTTTTTTTTTTCTTGTTTTTTTTCTGTGAACCGGGAGAGCATCCATAACCCGGAGAACCTCACTTTATCTTCACCTGACAGTTATCCACCCTCCTGAAATGTCCTTGAACGGGGGGCAGAGTGTCTTCCAGCTCTGTGGTGACACCGAGTTAAGCTTTGCACCCGTCTTCCTACAACAGCAAATTACAGCACTTCTCTTTTTTAGTCTTTTGCAGGTATATGAGATGCAGCAGCTCTGCTTCCTCACAGGCGGAGGAAACAGGTTTAAGCATCACATTGCAGGAAGGCAGGTCTCTGCTGATTTGTAGCTGTTGGTGTTTCATAAAGAGACGCTCAGAGTCATTTGTTTTGTGTAAAGTGGAGCGCCGCGAGAGCCGCCAGACTGACGGTCAGATTGTTGCCGTCTAATGTTGACTTGAGTAGCCTGGATTGGGCGTTAAATGAGATGGGACAGGCACTTAGGGACTGATTAGACCTGCCATCGTCCCCCGTCTGCCTGCCTCTAATGACTCGGTGAGATTGAAGTGTTTGGTTTCAAATTGGGATGAGAGTTGGGATCAGCGAAGCCCCGTGTTGCAGATGGAACGCTGCGGCGTGTGTTTAGGATGTCGCGAACACAAATAACGGCGCTGATAGTCTTTCTAATGCGGATGTCTGCTGCCACGCCTAAATCATGAACAATGACGGGGAGACGAGGCGCTTAATGAACTCTGATGTGAAGGAACCGGGCTGCTCTGACTTTTAGCTTTTAGTTGCAGGTTTGTACGTGAAGGTGCTCCCGGTTTGGTCGTGTAAGCAAATGGTTCGGCATCAATATTGAATGTCATGTTATGGGAGTTGGTTCCTGACGGTGAGATAGCACACAGGGGGGAGGTGCAGCTACACAACAGTTCAGCTCATGGTGGGAATGCTTTCAGCCAGACTGGTCGGCTGTCAAACACGGTCAAACATCCACCTTCAGCTTCAGATGGCAGGTCCTGGGAAGTGGCTCCTGTAGAGATGCTCAAGGAAATGTGCAGTTACAATTACTGACAAAGGCTGAAACATGAGGTGAATAATCAGAGCAGTTCAGTCACATGTAGCTCAACCAGATGGAGGAAAACTTTCTGGGTTTTGATGCTTCATTACTGATCAGTGTCTGCTGAGTGATGCTATGCTGTGATCTGACTGACAGAAACCCAACTCATCATTTAAAAGCCACATCTTGCACAGTTTGAAGCTCGTCAGTGTTTAAACTGATTTTTATGAATCCACGCCGTCCTCCTCGTGCCTCGTCTCTCATGTGGTGACGCTCCGTCGTCACATCATGAATATTGAACCCACGTCTGATTTTAATGAATGATTCCACAATCACACTGCGTTCTGACGTATCTGTCAGGAAACCTGCTATTAGATGTTTGAGCCAAATACTTGAACTTATCTTGGATGTGCAGACAATATGAGTCAGCTCCTAATTACAGTCTGAACTAAATGACTGAACTGATTATTGGTCGACATGAACGATTATCGGATCTGATTTAGAAAATTATTAACGTTTTTTTTTAACCTATTCATGATGAAATAAATTAACATAAAAATGCTTTGGCTCTCTGTCTGTCTGTAGTCAACACACTGGGATCCTGAGCAACGTCCCGGTCGTAGTGGGTTCTGATTGGTTACGGGCCACAAGCCTGATGGTATCAGCCAATCACAACGAAGGATAAATGTTGAGAAGTTCTCTTTTAATTAAATTTGTGTAACACATAAATTTAGACGTTTCAGTGAAGTTTTGTTTTGGAGTTTCTGTTTTACAACACTTCCAAATGTCTGATCATTAAACTTCAGGATTGGTTTTATCCCTAATTTAAAAAACAACAACAATCAACCTCTATTAAAGATTGATAGCATTTAATAGAGCTGTTTAACACATGGAGGATATTGACTATTGAATCATTAATATATGAACAATACAGTGTGTATAAGTAATATGTTATTAATTATTAACATTTCTTCAGTGTTGACCTTTTAAACTAATGCTTTGGATCGTTTCCTTGCTGAGGTGGATGTTTGTCCCACAGCTTCACTTCTGTTCTTCTTTTACCTTCGTAGGTGCTGCTCGTTGGGTTCTTTCCTCTCTGACAGGGTTTCCTCCTGCATGTGTTTGGTTCCAGTTTTCTATTTAATAGCTTCTCTTGGCAACGAAAGCAAACAGTCGTATCCCCCAAAACGACAACTTATTGATTTACCGCTAATTCTTAACTGCTGGATAGCGACTGCATCATAATGAGTGTGTTGTAATGATGGCAGCAGCAGGACGCCCGACAGCCGCCGCGCCGTAATTTTATTGTTTAATCTTTTCGTGGCGAACGTTCCTCATTATTAGTTTTATGATGTAGCGACGGTAAACACACGACACATTCTGGAGTTCAGCTCTTTTCTTTTTTTTTGTCTTAGAATCAAGCAGAGATGGAAAACCTCGACATACTTATTAAATGCACAGACATGCAGGGAAAATGACACACCTACACGTTTCTAAAAGGGTACGTGGACATTGTGGCTCTAAGTACATCATCCATGTTTAAACGGATTGCCGCTCTGAGCTCTGTGATGTTCTGGCTGCCGCTGTGATCCCTGTTAATGGCCCGACTGTTTTGTTCTGGATTTGTGTTGAATTTTGCGCCGCTTTGTTCCCGATAGCGGCGGCGGGTTATTAGCTTGTGAATGGCTTCGAGGTTGTGAACCGCTTTTGTGTCAAACGCGACAAAGGTGGCCGTTTGCATCCGAGCGTAAATATCACGTCTTAATGTTTTAACGTGTTCAGGAACAAGTCGTCATCTGGTTCAACAGCAAGAAGATCAAATAACAACAGAAGGGAAGTGTTTTTATAAATGTTCTTTCTTGGCCCTTCAACAAGCCTCCTCGTCTCCGTCCACGCTCGCTGCCTTTTGTTATTCAGAAGTCGGCAAAGAGAAGCTCAGATTAGGAACGTTGCTCTTTAATGGGGATTTAAGGGCGGTTATGGCCTCGCAACACATTCATGAGCGTTAAACATCTGCAGGGGGTCAGAGCTCTGTTGATTAATACCAATAAATCTACAGTCGATCCTTCTGGGTTTCCTCCTTAAACCTCCCTAATCTACACCCACCGGCGCTGCCAGCCACCTCAGCGAGTTGGTGAGGAGCCATTTCAACCCGGTTCAGAAGAAGGAAATCAAATAACACAGCCTTTTTTTTCTATTTTTTTCTATTTTTCTCTCTACATTCTCTTATTCGCCACATATTTGTTTCCCACACTGGCTAATGAGCTGGCTGCTCTCTGTGGGGAATTGCTGCGCTGCTGTTTGTGACAATTAGAAGCCGTAATGAAATGCAGTAAAACGAGATGACAGAAGGAGAACGGAAGCAGCTCCAGTGCAGAGGATCGTTTCCGTCAACGCGGCGACGTGTTTGAATCGGGACTCAGTTTTGTTTTTCGCATTAACAAATCTGATCCCATTAGTGAATGTCTCTCGGGGACGTACTCAGCCTCGGACTTTGTGCAGTTAAAACTACAACAACAGAGGTTTTAACTCACACAGAGGAACCAGCGTTGTACCAACATCAGGATAAAGCAAACAGGAAGCACGTTCTGCAGCTGCTCTTTGGATGAAGTGGTACCTGAGGTGTTAGGAGCCTTCAGACACTTTCTTATGAATGATGTTTGTAGATGTTTGATCGTCTGAACCCCAAAATCCACCGACTGTCCTGCCAACTTTCAGATGGTCATCGAAGGAGTCGTGTGAGGTGGAGCTACGTCGGGACAGTTTACTAATCTAAGCTTAAAATTGTGATGTTTGATCAACAGCACTTTGTTCTACATCTCATTTAAAAATTAGCCAAAAATAAACCGTTTCGACTAGAAGGTCGCCGGTTGGCGTCCCGGTGAGGACACCCGGGATCTTCCTGCGTGGAGTCTCCATGTTCTCCCCGTGCAGCGTGGGTTCTCTCCGGGTTCTCCGGCTTCCTCCCACAGTCCAGAAACATGCTGAGGTTAATTGGTGATTGTAAATTGTCCGTAGGTGTGAATGTGAGTGTGCTTGGTTGTCTGTCTCTAAGTGTAACCCTGTGATAGACTGGTTACCTGTCCAGGTGAACCTGCCTTCACCCTGAGTCAGCTGGGATAGGCTCCGCCCCCCATGACCTTGGTGAGGATGAAGCGATGTGTAGATAATGGATGGATAATTAGATAAGAGAAGTTTTCAACTATTGTTCTTCGTTGCTGATTGGCTGAAAAATGCTAATATTGACTCACATAACAGGCATCAGTCCCCCCTGGATCCTCCACTAGGACCAGGATCAGCAACTCAGAATCAATGGATGGATGATTGGATCAGCTGGTGGTTATCTTCCAAATGCACTGTTCCTGACATTCTTTTCTGATCAGTGTGCAGATTAAACGACTTTCGACATGATTTGGGCAAAGCGCTGCTGCTTCAGGAGGGAAAATCCTCCTCATTGTTTCTCTTTGACTACTTATTCTATTTTAGTTATGGGGAGACATTACAGACTTCAATTAACTGTCATCACGTCTCTGACATGCAGCAATTTGTCATAATCACACGCTTTCTAGCTGCAGGCGATTGGTCAAATGTCAAGATTGGTTGTCATCAACTCTCCATTTAATGGAGCACTCCGGATAAAATGGATCTAATGTAACGTAATAGGTAGGAACGGTACCGGCGGGTCTCTGCCACCGCCGGCTAATGACGGCTGATGTTTCTGTCTTTGCAGAGTGAGCTGCTGTGAATCCTGAGAACACAAGTCTCCCGACAGGAGACAAGATGGCGTCCAACAACACCCTGCGCAGCTACTCCATCATCCCATGTTTCATCTTCGTCGAGGTGAGAGACAGTGTGTGTGTGTGTGTGAGTGTGTGTGTGAAGGATGTGCAAAGTGACGTGTGAATGAATTTGGCTGCTCGTGTGGGGAACGTACACGTCGAGTTTTCGTGTGTGTGTTGAGTGATAATTTAACCATCAGCAAATGACCTCTTCTTGTAAATTATACACAGCTAAGCAGAGCGTAAAGTGTTGCAGCGAGTGGAGAGCTGAATACGTGTGTGTGTGTGTGTGTGTGTGTGTGTGTGTGTGTGTGAGTCGTGCAGCTCCTCCATATTTAATTACCGTGTCAGCTGAAGTCCTTAATCAGAGAGATGTCTCAGGACACTTTGCATTATTATTCTCTTTCTGTCTTTGTGTTTCACCCTCTCACTGTCTCTCACACTCCTCAGAGGAACCATCCAGCCTCAGACGGGTTTACGCTGATGCTCCTTCCTCCTTAATCTCACGCCTTCTTCTTGACTGACCTCCGTGTCGCACTCATATTCTCTGACAACCGTCCGTAATGAGACCATTGTACGCTGTGAATTAGTCCGCCTGCCTGCTGTAATAGTGTGGTGCTGAGGCTGGGTGTGTCTTCTGAGATAAGTCAGTAAGCAGAATGTAATTTATTTAGCACCTTTCAAACCCCGAGTGCTTTACAGAAGAATAAAGAACAGGAGAAGTGTAAAAAACAGCAGGAGACGCGGCACAGTGGAAACAAAAATAACACAGTTAGAGGCACTACAAATCAGAGCAGCGTTCGTAATAACTCGAGCACAAATAAACTTAGAAGAACAATGGGTCCTCTCATGGCGGCTCACGCTGGGCTCAGACTACAGGGCTTTTGGATCAATTTATCCGCAGTTGTAGGAGAACTCTGGTGGGTTCTTGATCTGAAGGGGCTCACAGATCCAGTTAAACCTCCTAAACTTCTTGCAAACTGGAGATCAAGAGTGAGATCCTCACAAATACCACACCGGGAGCAGGGGACACTGTTGCCAGGCAACGCTACACATCCTAGCCCTAGAGGCTAACGTTAGCCACAGATATTAAAACTGATGTGTTAACGGCATCCTCCCAAACATTTTCACATCCAGACTCATTTAGTCTTTTCTTCCTCACTGCATCGTGCTCCAGCTAGTTGTTGTGACGCTCTCTCTCCATTTTGTTTCCATCTGCTTCCCCATGAGGCCCCGATGCCTCCCTCAGGCCTGATAACCTTATAACAGATAATATCCTTCAGTGTGTAGGGCTGGGTGTCGTTTGGATTTTAATGATTCTGGTTTTGCTCATCAGATGCATTTTGTAGGGAATCTAAATTGTGATTCTTTGAGGAGCAGGTGGTTGGGGTTAC